TTCTCATAACTTCTTGATCCATGAGAAAAAATGAAATCTATGTTTGGCTAAGGCACCGTAGGTTGGGTTTTCTATCAAAACATAGAAGTCTGGGAACTTGATGACACCATGAGACAGCCACACTAGCATAAATCTAAACTTCTTTTACAAAAGAGAAAATAAAGTCCTAATTTGTTTCCCACTTGTACCAGAGACAAATAACAATGTGCATTATTTTGGGGTTCTAGATAAGAAAGAGCATTCATACTTTGTAAATGCTGAGTCTAAAGTACCTGTGGGGCGGTCGAAGGTAGAAAAGCAGAAAAGAACACGATGTGTGGGTCTGAAGCTTGGGGGAAAGATCTGGGCTGGAAAAGAACAGGTTATTAAAGTTCAGGGTGGACACTTTTAAAGTCCCTCATTGTCTGTCTTGGATTGGTTACACACATGTTCTGTGCATCTCTAAGGAACAGAGCAAGGGATCGGATTTGGACTCCAAGTGAGGAAAGACCTTCCCACAGTCAGAACTCTCCAAAAATGGAACAGGTTCTCTGTAAATTAGGGAGCACTTTGCTCCTTGAGCGATGCAGAGACTGACACTCAAGTGATAGGGAAGATGTCCAGAGCACTGGGAAGGTGAATTCAATAATTGTTAAAGATCTTTCAAACCTTGAGTCACTCATATTCTAAGCATCTAATTTGGTTCTGAATGTGACATTGTCAACCTTGTAAAAAGGCTCCACCCCAAACTGAGATCAAGATCCCTCACTGCTGTTGCAGCCATCCTTGTTCTGATGCCTTTAATGGAATCCAGGAGCTGTTTGGATAGTACTTGACTTCTTGAAGGCCTCAGATATTTTTATTAGATAATTATTAGATTCATTTATTGGATAATTATTACACTCAAGATTTTTATTTAACTCTTAGTGCTTTTCTTCCATAATTACTAGACTGATACATGCTCAAAACAACAACAAAAAAAATTGGTAAATTCAAGAAAACACCAACGGAAGGAAAAATATGTAATATCACCACCCAGAGATAACCAGAACGTTTTTTGATATAAAAATATCATATCTTTTTTGTGTGCATAAATTTTTCCTTAAAGTTGTAATCTATTTTACACACATCTTAGCCAAAAAGCTGAGAAGCAATCTATTTTACATATTCTTTTGGTGTTTAAAAGACGTATTTGATATAAATTTAAACTTACATTAGAGTTGTAAGAATAGTACAAAGAATCCCAATACACCCTTCATGCAGATTTACTGTATTCCTTTTTAAAATCAATTGTATATCATGAACATTTTTCCTGTCCATAGACATTATCATCACAGCCAACATTTACTACTGGCAGATGAGTCCTTTACTCACTGTGACTTCTAAGATTCCCACAATGAATCCCTGAGATGAATACATTATCCACATTTCACATATGAATAAATTAGGCCTTAGCTAAGTGCTTCCAATATTTCACCTTACAATCTTTTGTTAAAGGTCTTTTTTTTTTTTTTTTATCCCTATCTTTGTGCATCTATTCCTTAAGTTTTTGATGCTATCTCTAAATATGATTGTAGACAAAATCCCCGAAACCCAATGACAGGACAGAAAGGGAAACCATGTTTGTCATTATATCTGTGTCCCATTATTGGGCCACGTCATGGTCCATAATGCACAATGTCTAACTATATTTTTTAAACCTTCTAATAACATAAATAGCCGGGTAATATGCATTTTTAAGTGATTCGGAATTACTTTGTCAAATGTAAACATGTAAAATATACTCTACTCTCTAGAATCCTATTGGTATTTCATCATATTAAAATATGTATGCACTTCATGTATATAACAGCATTATTTACAATAGCCAAAAGGTGGAGGCAACCCTAGTGTCCATTAATAGATGACTAGATGAAGGAAATTCTGACACATGCTACAACATGGATGAACCTTAAGGACATTATGCTAAGTAAAATAAGCAACTCACAAAAAGACAAAAACTATATGATTCCACTTACATGAAATCCTTACAGTAATCAAATTCAAGTAGAATGGTAGTTGCCCGGGGGTGAGGGGAGGGCAGAATGAAGAGGTATTGTTTACCAGGTACAGAGTTTCATCTTTTTGTAAGATGCAAGACTTCTGGAGATTGGTTATACAATATGAATGTACTTAATGCCACTGAACTGTACACTTAAAAAAGATTAAGATGGTAAATTTTGTTATGTGTATTTTAAAATTAAAACATAAAAATGAATTTAAACATATGCAGTAGATGCTTAATATTAAGTACTAAAGTATGATGAATGAGCCTCAGAAAGGGTGGCTAATGTCTCTGAGAGGTATTATATTTTTAGTATATGTGCTGCCGAAGCAAGCACACGGAGATATATTAAAAATATGCTTCAAAAAGGTGCACACAGAGATATTAAAAAGATGCTCCAAAGAAGTAACTGTGAGCTGAAAGAAACAGTACAGTTGGCACACGGCCTGCAGATCAAATCTGCCTCATGGCGAGGCCTCATCATTTTCCAGTGGAGACAGGAAGCTTGAGGCCCTGAAGCCAGTGGACCTGCCATCCCTCCAACTTCTCCTTGTACGCTTCCTGTGTTAACTGTCATCTTGTGGCTGCTTGCTCCTGCCCCTTGGCCAAAGAAGTTCTCCTGCCTCCAACTGCAGTATTAGTTCCTCAACTGAGGTTGAAACATTTATTGAGTGCCTACTGTGTCCCCTGCATAAAGTGCTTTACATACATTATTTCTAATTACTATTTTCACAGTGACCCCATGAAGAGGTTTTGTAATTCTCATCTTACTGATGAGGAGACTAAAGTCCTGAAAGGTTAAGTTAACTTACTCAAGGATGCACAATAAAAAGCTAAATTCCTTCCATTATACCATGTGGCTGTTAAGATGATAAAAATAATAAGATCCCTATAACAACTAGCGTATTTTTAAAGCCCCTAAGGTCTCAGAGGCAAAAAGGTACTGTATCAAGCAACTCAGGGTTGAGTCAAAATAATAATTGCTAGTATGTATTAAGCATTTAGTACAGGTTAAGAACTTGGCTAAACTCTAATTATGTTACCGTATATATACAGCCAACAACTCAGGGTGGTATGTGTAATAGCGTCCATGTGTCAGTGCCTGGCACACTAGTAAAGGCTCAGTAATGTCAGTTGCTTCAGGATAGAGGACTGATACTTCTTTCACTTTCAAATATGTGATTCCCAAGATCAATACTGATTTTGAAACTGCTACTACTTTATTTTTTAAGCACTGAAAACACCTTTCTGGATGACTTTTAAGGCAGAACTGGGTTTGACCTCTAATTCAGGGGTCCCCAACCCTCAGGGGCCACGGACCAGTAGGTCCATGGCCTGTTAGAAACTGGGCCGCACAGCAGGAGGTGAGCGGTGGGCAGCAAAGTTTCATCTGTATTTGCAGCCGCTACCCAGCAATAGCACCAACACCTTTGCTCCATCTCAGATGATCAGGCATTAGATTCTCATAGGATCAACTGTTCCTGGTGCCAAAAAAGTTGAGGACCGCTGCTCTAATTCAGTGTTACCACTGTTTTCCATGATACTCACCCTAGAAACATTAAGAAGATACACTGAGCATATGTGTGCTTGTATCAGCAAGGCATTCATTCATTCATTCATTCATTCATTCATTCATTCAACAAATAGGTCTTAAGTGCCTTCTGTTTGCCAGGCCAAATCCCCTGTTCCCTCTCCTCCCTTCAAAAAAAAAAACTCCAAACCTAAAAAAAACAAATAAACAAAATTAGTTTTCAAGAAAGTTCAGGTTGTCGTGTGGATTTAGATCCTTTGCGGCGAGTACAATATTGATCTTCTAAATTTTATCCTTATAAATTGAATCTCAAGAATCTTTATTAAATGTCATAGTTCCAGCTGGGAAAAGAAAAACATTTTTAAAATGTGCTATTCTCCCTTTATTATACAACCTTATAGAACTTTGTGTCTCTAAATCATCTAACAAATTTTTGCAAAACTTATCTTTGCTCTCATCCCTGTTCCCCATCTTTTCATTTTTATCCCTTTAGTTAGACAATCACTATTACCAGTTTCTCAGTTCTTCTGGAAACATTTGCCTTTACAGGCTCATATATATCTTTACCTATCAAGGTCTTTAAAAAAAAAAAATGTGAACAATGACATACCGATAACACATTTTTCTGTGCTTTGCTTTCTGTCACTAACTGTATCTTGAAGTTGGTTCCATATTAGTATATAAATTGCTGCTTTGCTCTTTCTAGCAATGGCAGGTTACTTCTTTGAAATGATGGAGTCTCATTTATTTCACCTGTTATTCTCTGGTTTCATGGCTCAAGACAGGAAAAGTCTTTGCCTACGCGAGTCAGTTTTTAGGTACTAGGAATCCCCATTCTGTACAACTCTCTAAATCTTTTAGAAAGAAAATCCCTTACCCAGGTGCAACTGGGTATCTTTAACGCCAAGCAGCGCCGGGAAGGGCCGGCGCGGGGAGCACCCAGATGCGGCCCCCACCTTTTCGTCGGTACCCTGCGGCCCAGCGTGAAAGCCCATTCCCACCCTGCAGTGGAGGAGAGGCTCGCCATGGGGCAGGTAATCTCCAAAAGCACACGCGCTTCCATTTTCCCGTCTGCGTTGGGGTCCGCAGTAAGGGCCCGCAGTAGGGGCCGCCATGTTGTACTTGTGGCCACCAATTCCGTCAAGAAACCTGTTAACTCCGCGGGAGCCATCTTTTACCAGAAGCTTGCGCTCCAATTACTGCAGTCACATCACCGCGTTTCCCAGAAATGGGAAAGCCTCTCAGCGTTCCTTACCACCACAAAGGAAGCAGCCATCTTGTACGTCAAACTCCTCCATTTCCGGACCAGCCTACTGACGTGAAAAGGGAGGTACCAGCCAAAATAAGCGACTCTCTCCCTCTGGCGGTGGGGTCGGAGCAGCGAGGCCACCTTTGACCTGTTGGAGATTCTGCTTCCGGGTCTGCTGGAACCGGGCCATGACGTCGCCGGGACCTGGGGAGTGAACGCCAAGCTGGGGCGAGGTTGGAGTGGAATTTGAGCTTGCGCATCGAGCGATAGGGATGGAGCATGGCCGAGCGTGGGTCTAGGAAGCTTGGGAAGCCAGGGTTTACTAAGAGTCTCTGCGTGGACTATTAAATCTCTTCACCACTCGATGAGGCACATATTATTGTTACCGTTTACAGGTGAGGAAACAGAGTCACCCTTCTTGCCCACTCTGCTAAACCCTGGCAGAGGTGGTGTTTTAGAAATTCCCTCTCCACCGTTTTTATAAAATAGGATGACAGTATCTAATGTGGGAAGAGGATTGAGTTTTCAAATTACAGTGCCTGATTGAAGAAGCCAGACCACACAGCATTATCCCTGTCCTGTGGCTCGTGATGTTCTGGTACCATCTAGCTATCAGCTTTCTCAGGAACTTGACTGAGGTTGGGCGATTCCTGGGAGGCAGTTTTGGTTCTGGCTTAGGAGTCTGGTAGCTTGGCCTCCCATGGGAGCCTCATACTTGTCAGAGGTCTTCCTTCATAAGAAGAAGGACTAAATATCTTTGGCATTAACAATTCCAAGATTCAGAGCACCAATTTCCTAAGAAGTTGCAAGTAAACGGTGACTTGAGGAATCTTTAAGATAGCAGTACCTGTTCTGTCTCCTTCAAACCATACATCAGACCACCTCCAATTCCATCAGGATAGTTTCTAGTTTCTGGAAATTGGATGCATTCCAGGTCTTCAGGAGATCTCTATATTATGAAAATACCTTCATATCTGTTATCAAATCCCACACTCGTTATTAACACCTAACAGGAATGTGTTTAACACTTAGCTAAGGGCAAGTATAGGTCACAGAGTTTTCTTCATCATCATCACCATCACCACATCAGTATCATCATCATCCATCATCATCATCATCATCATCATCATCCTGGGTGAGAATCCAGTTCTTAAAGAAGATGCTGTTTCAATCCTTGGGAAATACACAGGTTTGTTAAACCAGGTGTGCAAATGCAAAAATATTGCCTTGTGAAAGAAATGAAATAAGGAATCTTAATTTTTCTATAACTGTTTAACAGATTGAAATTCTACAATATCATCCTTAAAGTTATGAATGACATTCACGCTAGACAACACACCCCCAAACAGGAACATTAGCCCTTTGCACTTTTATCCACATAATATGTATTATTATTGTTTTATGCAGTTGGCTTGTAAATCAGATAGAAGGAAAAGAACTACAAACAAAAAGTACATTTATGTTGTCTTTTATATTTACCCAAATAGTTACTTCTATTTGTGCTCTTTACTTTTTCATTTGTAATTGACTTACTGTCTATTGTCATTTCATTTTAGCCTGAAAGATTCTCTTTCGCATTTCTGTAGTTCAGGTCTGCTAGTAACAAATTCTCCCAGTTTTTGTTTATCTGGGAAAGCCTTAATTTCCTTTTTCTTTTTATTCTGTTATTTTATACTACAATAATTGATTTTAGGATGTTAAGTCAATCTCACTGAAGAGGAATTTCCCTCTTAAGTGGCCAACATTTCTAATCAGCTCTTTTCTGCTTCTTTAAACATGCTTGTTGCAAGGCTAGAGATCTCCGAGTCAACTGAGAACTCATCCTCCCCTAAAGATGTGTTACTTTAGTGCTTGTTAGGAAAGATGTATTACCTTAGTGCTTGTTAGATAGAAAACGCCATGATCTGTAACTGCCCATAGCCCGTAGCAATTTCAGGAGTCTGTAAATCAAACCATGCCGACTGTAACAACATGAATATGAAAATAAAATTGCCCCTAAGCTTGGGGTCCAGATTTTCAGAGCACCAGTTCTTCTGGGACTGCCGGTGTAATAAAATTGAGTTACTCCAAACCTCCAGTTGCTGCTTGATTTCTCACTGGTCTGAGTTTTTGCAACTTTTCTGCAACATCACATCCTTGAAGAAAAGCCCGCTGACCATGGTGTATAATGTTTTTCATATGTTGCTGGATTCTGTTTGCTAATAATGTTGTTGAGAACATCTGCATATGTATACATAAATGATATTGGTTTGTAGTTTTCTTGTGATGTCTTTCTCTAGTTTTGGTATCAGCATAATGCCGAACTCATAAAATAAGTTAGGGTTCCTCCCTCTTCTATTTATGATAAGAGTTTGTGAAAATTTGGTATAACTTCTTCAGTGTTTGATGGTATAAACCAGTGAAGCCCTCTGCCCCTGGGCTTTTCATTGTGGGTAGTTTTTTAAAATCACTGATTCTATATCTTCACTTATTATAGATCTATTCATATTGTCTATTTCTTCTTGAGTCAGTTTTGGTAGTTTGTATTTTCTAGGAATTTATTCGTGTCATCTAGCATATATATTTTGTTAGCATACAAATGGTCACAGTATTCTTTTATAATCCTTCATTATTTTTGTAAGGTCCGTAGTAATGTCCCCTCTTTCATTTCTGATTCTCTAGTAGTCTTCATCTTCTCTCTGTTTTTCTTGTTCAATCTAGCTATTAGATTTATCAGATTTTTTGATCTTTTCAAAGAACCAGCTTTGGTTTAATTGGTTTTCTGTATGTGTTTCTATTTCATTAGTTTCTGCTCTAATCTTTAATATTCCCTTCCCTCTGCTTGCTTTGCTTTAGTTTCCTCTTTTTTTCCCTAGTGCCTTATGGTTGTTGGTTTGAGATCTTTCTTCTTCCTTAATATAGGAATTTATAGTTATAAATTTCCATCTAAGCACAGCTATTGCTACATTCCATAAGTACTGATATTTTATGTCTTCATTTTCATTCATCTCAAAGTATTTTCTAATTTCTCAGAAATGGTTTACAGGTTTGTTTTATTTATTTATTTATTTTTGACCACTTTGAACAAGTTATCCCACTGCTGTATGGCCTCCATTTTTCTTTAAAGAAGTTAGCTGTTAATCCTATTGGAGTTTCCTTGCTTTCAGTATTTTCTCTTTGACTTTCAGCATTTTTATATAATGTTTCTTTTTGTAAACCTCTTTACATTTATCTGACCTGGATTTTCTTGAGCTTTCTTTGTGTGCAGGTTATTGTTTTCCAGTAAATTTGAGAATTATTCAGCCATTATTTCTTGGAATTTTTTTTTTTTGGCTGCTACTGCCTCCCTCGCTTCCCCTTCTGGTGTGCCCATTATACATATGTTGGTGTTCTTAATTGTGTCCTACATTTCTCTGAGGCTCTTTTCATTTATTTCCATTCTTTTATCTCTCTGTTCTGTGGCCTGCATAATCTCTACTGATCTATCACAAGTTTGCTTATTCTTTATTATGCCAGTTCAGAGACACTGTTGAGTCCTTCTAGTGAATTTTTAATTTCAGTTATTGCACTTTTTAACTTCAAAATTTCAATTTGGTTCTTTTAAAATAATTTTTATCTTGATAAAGATGAACTGGAACTTTAAGCAAACATAATTAGTTGGGAAGGTCTGTGGGAGGTGCTAGAGTTTATGGAAGTTCTTTTATTTTGTATAATCCCAAGAATCCTACATGAGAAAATCCTACAGGAAGAACTCTATGTTTCTAATAAAGTTTTAAGTTTCAAACTTACCTTTCCATTAACTTCCTTTTTCTTTACCCCTCCATCTTAGCACACAGGTCAGAGGCTTACCATGTACATGTGGCTTACCATGTCTACATGCTGTGGGTTCCAACCTTTTCTTTCACCCCAATAAATCCTTTTGGGTCATGAAACACCTAGTCAATATTATTTTTCGATATTATTCAGACATTTTGGGGACTCGTCCAGAATTCCAGAGAAGAACCACCCTGACAGCTTCAGGGCAGATGAGCAACCAGATACTGCACCACACACAGAGTCACTTGGGCTTGCTGCTGACTCTCTAATTCAGAAGCTTAGGGTAAGCTTTCTCCTGGAAACAAGCTTCCACGTTTTATGTTTTGAAACTCTCCAGGATTTATTTAGGAAAGTTTAGACATTCTTCTGTGTGTGTACTTGTGTTAAAAGGCCTAGCTTGTTCTTTAATCTATCTGTTATCTGTGAGTACTTGATTTCTCATGTTGACATGATTTCTCCAGAAACAGGTTGTCCTTTGAGACTAAACTGGCTTTCACCTAAAGATCTCTTTGGTGACAGAGGTTATTTTTACTGAAATTAGTCAGTGTGGCCCAATATTAGACTGTGCCAACTCAAAGAGAAGTGTGTCACCCAGCTCAGCCTATAATGACTCCCTGAGGGTCAGTTATTTTCCTAGAACTGGCTTTAAGCCTTTGGCCTGGTCCTCTGTGATGAGACTGTTTAAGAGTAAAGCTAGCTGATGTCTGATCGGCAGGTTGCTTGAGCTGTTGTAAATTGTATTGGGCCCTTTGCTCTAGAGAAAATTCTCTGAAAAAAATGAGATCTCATCTATCCAAATATTTTAAGACCATCCCTCCTCCGACAGGAATGTCAGCCAAGTACATGGTTAAAAGCCATGGGCAATTTCCATGCACATATTTAACTAAATGGACAAATCTGACTAAAGGTAATTCAGAAAATCAGTGGCCATTCTGTGGGCCTTTTGAGACTCTGAAACTTCATTTTCTTAAAACTGAATTGGACAATAATAGCTCTGAAATTGGTTAAACTGAGTGGAATGCCTATTTTGAATGGTATTTTGAGGCTTCCAAATGACACCAAGAATCTGAAGTTGCCTCTTTGTGAAATAAAGTCTTAAAGTTAACAGAGACTACTGAAAATTTAGAAGGAGAGAAAATGGTATCTGAAGCCACATGTTCTTCCTCTAAAATGCTATCTTGCCCTTCCCCCTCTACTCCACTGTCTCAGAAATCATATTTGGGTTCACCCTATTCGTCTTTGGATACTTTGCCTCAAGCTACTTCTTCAGCTTGTGCAAGTACCTGTTCTCCATCAAGCTCTACGTTTGATACCATCTTGCCTTCCCCTACCACTTTCCTTATCTTTGGTCCCTCCTCTGGTGCCATTTTCCCTTGAGTCCTTGCCTGTATTTTCTTTTTCTGAACTTATCAGTATGTTCCCATTTAAGATTAAGCCCTCTAGTGGTCCTAACAGACCCCAAGTTTCGTATGTTTTATAAATTAAAGCTGAGTTAAGAGCCATTGTAAAGAAAGTCCCTAAGATAACTGAGGACCCTCACAAGTTTGCTGAGGAATTTGATATTATTATTCAGGCCCAACAGCCTGGGTTTTCTAATTTATATCAGCTAATTCATGTGTTACTTGGTGAAGGCCATTTCAACCCTGTATGAGAATTGCCAGGTAGGAACATCCCAAAAGGAACTTAGAAAAGCAAACCTCTAATTTCTGGGAAGAATCTGGAAAACTTACTCTAACTACACCAAACAATTCCTAAGGCTTTCCCAAAGCCTGTTAACTGGAGCAAAATTTAGACTTGCTCACAAAACTCTGATGAATCTATTCATGACTATTATAATAGACTTCAGGCTGTTTTTAAGGAAAATTCTGGTTTTCCATCAGGTGTTGACTCCACATGAGTAACTTTTAATTCTTTGTTTGTTAATGGGCTGAACAGAGATCTTCTCCTCCTAGTTAAGAGAACCAGGATGGAACGGGAGACCGTGGCCACCATAGATTTCATTAATTTGGCCAGTCAGCTTGCCTGTACTCTAAATGAGCCACCTAGAAGTAAGATTGCCAAGATTTTTAATTTTCGGCCTTGGCAAATGAGAGGCCCTATGCGAAACTGAAAGACTCCAAACTTCTGCCATTATTGCAAAGAGCCAGGACACTGGAAAAGGGATTGCCATAAGTTTAAGTATTTCAGACACTCTCAGTGTTCTAACCAGCCTTTTCAAAGTCCTAATTCCCAATGATGGGGCTCTGAGAAACTGCAGGGGCCTTTTCCAATCCTTCTTACATCAGCTTGGAGAAACTTCTCTTCAAATTGGTATGGAAACTTTTTATTCTTATTGACACTGGAGCTACACTCTCGGTGCTTAACCCCACTGTCATAAAACAGCCCCTGCTGTGGAGTAATAAAACAATGTGCATAATGGGGATTTCAAATAACTTTAATAGGTTCATATCTCTGAACCTATTCCTTTTTGCTTAGGCCCTTCTAGAGATACACATTGTTTTCTCCTTGGTTCTTCTACCCTTAGCCATTTATTAGGCCGAAACTTCTTAGAGAAGTATCATGCTGGAATATTCTTTTCACAAAAGGGAGAAATAATGTTAGCGTTTCATGGTAACTATCAGCTGATTAGGTGAGTTAAATGGCCTTTCAACATCTTTTATTTGTTGTTTTTGATGGTACGGTAGCTGAATCTGAGAGCACTGATCAATTGTCCCTATTGGACCAACTGCCATCTTCATTACAGGCAAAATTTTCAGCTCATATTGGCAGAATCCACAGTGCACCCCCTATTAAGGTTCAGCTTGATCCTGCAAAACCTCTTCCCAGAATCAATATCCTATAAGTAAAGAAGCTCTTCAAGGTATAAAGCCCATAATAGAATATTATGTAACTCAGGGCCTTATTATTCCTTGCACTAGTCCCTGTAACACTCCTATTTTGCCTGTGAGAAAGCCAAAGGGACGAGGGTGGAAGTTTGTCTAGGATCTCTGAGCAGTAAACCACATTGTTATCCCTCAACACCCTATTGTTCCTAACCTCATACGCTGGTTGCTAGCATCTATCCCAACTGGAAGTAAATTCTTTACAGGAATTGATTTACATAGTGCATTTTTTAGTATCCCAGTTGATGAAGCGAGCCAATACTTTATTGCCTTCACTTGGGAAGGAAAACAGTTTACCTGGGCAGTAATGCCTCAGGGTTTTACTGAAAGCCCTTCTTATTTCTTACAAATTCTGAAGACTGATTTGGACGATATAATTTTCCCTAAAGGTTCTACTTTATAGCAATATGTAGATGATTTACTTCTTTGCTTTTCTTCTCAGGTCTCCTCACAGGAAGATAGCATCTATCTGTTAGAACTTTGGCCTTATAGGGACATAAGTTCTCAAAGAAAAATTACAGTTTTTCCAAGCTCAGGTGCTATACTTGAGACCTCTGATATTGGAACAAGGGCTGCACCTGATCCAGATAGGCTTCATGGTGTCCTCAGTTTCCCAAGGCACAAAACTAAGCACCAGTTGTGAGGTTTTCTTGAGCTAGTTGGCAATTGCCAAACATGGATTTCAGATCTCTCTTATGGCCAAACCTCTATATGTCTTACTAAAGAATGACAGTCTTGACCCAATTTTATGGGAAGAACAGGATGACATAGCTTTAAGGCCCTAAGGAGAGTTTAATAAACCCACCTGCTCTTGGGCATCCTAACTCTTAGATTCTCCTTTTCCTTTTTGTGCATGAAAAGGACGAGAAAGCCCTTGGTATACTCATTTGAAAACATGGGAATCAGCATAGGCCACTAGGATACTATAGTCAGCAACTGGACCCTGTGGCTTGGGGATACCCCACTTGATTTAGAGCCATTGCTACAACTGCCCTCTTGGTTAAGCCCACAAAGGAAATTGTTATGGGATTCCCCTCTAACCATCTTTGTACCTCATGCAATAGGAATTCTCCTGAATTCTCAGCACACCCACCATCTTTCAGTTAGTTGCCTTACTTTCTGTGAAATCCTTTCATTAACCACTTCCCATATAAATCTTTCACATTATAATAGCCTTATTCCAGATATTCTTTTTCCCTTCTGAAACTGATAAAGTACTTCAGGACTGCTTGACACTAACATCACCTCATGATTCCTCCTGACGATTTGCAGAAGACTCCTCTAGATAAAGCTAATTTCTCATGGTTCACAGATAGTTCATACTTAAAAAATGAAAATGGTAAGTACTGCGCTGGTTATACTACTGTAACCTCTTTTGACATCATTGAAGCAGCAACTTTGCCTTTGGCTACTTCAGTACAGCAGGCTGAATTATATGCCCTCACTTGAGCTCACATTTTAGCAAAGAGTAAAACTGTCAACATTTATACTGACAGTACATATGCCTTGGTTTAGTTCATGACTTTGGAATGTTATGAGAGCAATGTAGTTTCCTTACCTCCAATGGAGACAAGATTGAAAATGGTTCCTATGCTCAGAAATTATTGGATACTATACTTTGAGATGCTTTAGCTACATTTAAGATTCCAGGACATTCTAAACTTGACCCCCCGGAAGCTAAAGGAAATTACCTTTCTGACATTTCTTCTAAGAATGCTCTTCTTAAAGTAATCAGTAAGAGTTAAACCTCTGTCATGGTCCAGGTCCAAGGAGAATGATAACTTAAAAAACTGGCCAGAGAAGCTCAACAATTTGCTTCAGAAAGAAGAAAACAAGATTGGAAATCCAACTATTGCTGGTTTCATAAGAAGAAAAAGCTCTGGTTTGGACCAAATAACAACCCAGTCCTACCAGAAACTCTAAAATTTCCACTCTTGACCACTGTACATGCATTAAACCATTGGTCCACTGATGAAAAGATAGCATTCACGAATCAAAATTGGTGAGGAGATATTAGCAAGGCTGCAGAAAGTGCCTACTTTCAGTGTCCCACTTATCCAAAATATAACTAGGGAAGCCTGTTCCTATTGCTCCTGGACATTTTAAATTGCCTAACAGAGCATTTGAGTTTTGGCGAATAGTTTTTACACAGTTTCCTGATCTCGTGGATATAAATATGTTTTAGTCATGATATGTATGTTTTCTTACTGGACTGGAGCTTTCCCTTATAGGTAAACTAATGCTTCTACAGTGGCTGAAGTCCTGTTAGAGAAGATTAGTCTGACTTGGGGAACTCCTTTCAAACTCCACAGTGATTGAGGAACTGATTTTACTGGTGAAGCACCACAACTAGTCAGTGCTATTTGGCCAGTTCTGTAACATTTTCACTGTGCTTACCATCCTCAATCTGAAGGTTTAGTTGAACTTACTAATGACATTATTAAGATTCAATTGGCAAAATTTGTAGAAACTCTTAAAATATGTTGGCCAAAAGCATTGCCATTAGTCCTTTTAAATCTTAGGTCTACCCTTTTTGGGACTCATAGCTTTCACCTTTCAAGATAATTATAGGACACCACATATATTTGGCTTCTGCTCCTTTTGACCCACAGTTGGTAAAAGGAGAACTACTTCAATATTGTAAAGGCTTAATTGTTTCTATTGAAAATAATCATGCTTTGGTAGAACAATTTTTTCACAGTGCACTCCAGAAAAAGGAGAAACTCAAAGTCCATACTCTACAACCTGGAGATTTTGTTTACTAGAAAAGATACCTCAAGAAAGATTCCCTTCAGCCTCACTGGAAGGGCCCTTACCAGGTACTGTTGACTAACGCCTGTGCTGCTAAACCAGGAAATAGACTCTTGGATACATGTGTCACACCTAAAGAAGGCACCAAACCCTGACTGGCATTGTACACAGTCTGATGGCCTGAAACTAAATCAGTCAAATATTAAAGCAGGTGATTTGTAAAGGAAACAAATTACCAAAATGACTGAATCAGGCCTGTCCAGCCAGGCCTGTCTGAGTCTTTTCTTGCTATTGATTATTTCATTTTTCTCTTTTTCTTGGAAGGAATGTTCCCTTGTTCGCATCCCTTAAGCTATTGTGAAAAAAGGGGAACTTTTCTGGTTATTGAATCTGTCATCAAGAACTTTGATCTAAGATAATAATGGTCTTTCTTTCATTATCTATAGGTTTGAGCTCCTGGTTGCAATTCATCACATAGACTAAGCTAATATGTTCTAATACTGTTTTGAATTCTCCTTGTTATTAAGCTCTTCACCTGCTGCCTGTTGACCCTGGACACGAGCTATTCCTGATTTCATGCACTTTCCCTCTGATGACAGAGATGAAACCCAGAAGAGGTCCTTCCTGACACTGAAGGGCAAAAAGGCTGCTCAAGTTGGAAAACCTGACTGTCAATCAGCGATGCTTTCAGAGAAAGATCTTAATCAAAAGAGGGGAGTGATAAAGATGAACTGGAACTTTAAGCAAACATAATCAGTTGGGAAAGTCTATGGGAGGAGCTAGGGCTTATGGAAGTTCTTGCCTTCTGAGTAATTGCGAAAACCCTTTAGGAGAGAGCTCTACAGAAAGAACTCTATGTTTATAATAAAGTACTGTGGTTCTGACTTCCCCTTCTATTAACTTCCTTGTCCCTTCTATAAATACCCCTCCACCTTGGCAAGCAGGTTAGAGTGTGCGCATGGCTTGCCATGTCTGCATGCTGTGGGTGGCAACCTTTTCTTCCCCCCTGAATAAATCATGCTTGGTGCGTAAACAAGTAGTCAGTATTATTTTTTGGTTGACAATCTCTTTATTGATACTCTCTATTTAAAGCAAAATTGTCACCATACATTCTTTTCTTGGTTTCCTTTAATTCTGTAAACTTGTTAATAATGGCTATTTGTAGACTTTTTCTGATAAATTCAATATTTGGTCACTCTCATAGGCAGTTTCAATTGACTGCTTTTTTTCCTTCTGGTATATCATTCATACATTGTTTCTTTGCATGCCCCATAATTTTTATTGGAAACTGGACATTTTAGAGAATATATTGTAAGAACTCTAGGTTATTGATTCTCTTTCCTTTATGTTTTTTTTTTTATTTGCTTGTTTATTTGTTTATTGACTGGCTGGATTCTTTTAGTGTAGTCTATTTTCCATCTCATGTGTTAAAGCCTCTGATCTTGCAGTGAGATGCAGCTTTGGGTACACCCAGTTACTTTGGGATGAAAGTGGTTTTAGTAAGGCCTCTCTTCATCTTTTTCCCTGACTATACCATGCTGTTAAACCCCACTAAATTGCAAGTGGTTGTTCAATTATTTTCAACAATGCCCTGAGGCACAAATTGCTCTACAAACTAAATCAATCTTAAGTGTCTCCTTTTACTTTGTGAAGGAATGCTTTGTGAAGCCATTGTTTGGCATTTGTTCCAACCCTGGGAGGGCTCCTCCCAGCTGTCTTAGCCCCTGTTCTCTCCAGAAAACTGCTGTCCTACACTTTCACCTTTTATCACAACCTCCATTGTTTTAGGGAGTGCCCTTAGGCTTGTACTTCTCCATACTCTGATGCAAATAAAGCTATTTTGGAAAGAGATTAAGAACTGTTTTACTGCCTGCTTCTCCACTCGGGCAAAAATCTCTGGGGGCAAAAATCTCTGAGCGAGAACTCTGGAGCCATGGGAAGGGGCAATAGAAAACTTCTCTCTGAATGACACCCTCCCCTCTAATCACTGAGCAGTCAATGGTTGAGATGGGGGGAGAACCTGGATTTCTCTTGACTTCCGTCTCCTGGAATGGAACCACTGCCTCACAAGCTGGGGCAAGGGTGACCAGGGCCCCAATATTCTCAGTGCACCCTGCCAAAGGTAGAACCTCCATTTTATGAGCAGGAAGCTTCCACCTGTCAACTGCACTTGACCCAGGTCTTAGCAACAAGTATCTAGGTGCAAGATGAGAAATGCTGACCTGCTCCTCCTGGAAAGAACCCGCCCTGGGAACCTGTGGGAGGGGGAGCCCTATGTCTTTGGCTGCAGCAGCCTGCAGTGGAGTCTCTGCCTCACTGGGAGGGTGGAAGTAGCAGTCTTAGTTTAAACACCTCAGTCTTTCACTTTTCTTAAGTTTCATATATTTTGTTGAATACATGTTTCATCATTTGTTGTTTCCAGAGGCATTAAATGGTTGTATTTTTATAGTTTTCACCAGTTTCATTGAGAAGCAGATGAGTGGAGCTCCTTGTTCTATCATACTGGAAGTCAATACTTCACTCATTTCCTTTATTTTTGAAGAATATTTTGTTCATATAGAAATATTGGTTGACAGTGTTTTTCTTTTCAGCACTTTGAGGGCATTCTGCCTCTGGCTTCTGATTTCTCGTTAGAAATCAACTGTTAAGCTTATTAAAGATTCCTTGTACATGGTAAGTCATTTTTCTCTTGCTGCTTTTAAGATTCGCTTTTTGTAGTTGTCTTTTGTCAGTTTAATTATAATGTGTGTAGGTATGGATCCCTTTGAATTTATTCTACTTGGACATTGTTCTCATACTTTCCTTTAGTTCTTTGAACATATTCAAAATAACTGATTTAAAGTCTTTGATAGTAGATCCAATGTATGGTTTCCTCAGGTATAGTTTCTATTCATTGCTCCCCCCTGCCATATGGGTCATATTTTCTTGTTTCTGTAGATGTTTCATATTTTCTGTTGAAAACTGAACATTTGAAATAATATCGCATGGCAGCTCTAGAGGTCAGATCTCTTTCCTGAGGTATGCTGTTTTTGCTTTTTGTTGCTACTGCTGCTATTTGTTTGTTTAGTGACCTTTATGAAAGAATTCTGTAAAGTTTGTATTCCTCGTCATGCATGGCTTCTGGATTATTTGATCACTTCTATTGGTGGTCAGCTAATGAGTGACTGAGATTTCCTTAAATACCTAGAGCCATTAAATCTCCCAACCTTTGCCAAGGGGCTCCATGCTAATGTTAGGGAACACTTTCAATGCTCATGCAGGTAGTTTGCAATTCCACCTTATCTTTTACTTCTTGTTGCCATAGAGCCTCAAGATCAGCCAGTGGTTAGGGCTTAGAGCCTTTCAGGTATTTCCTGGGTATTTGCACATGTGTGTGGCCATCAAGATCCCAAGAATATGGGACATCTCATTCCTCAGCTTTTTCTATTGAGTCTTTCTTTTCTTTATGTCTTTTTTTTTTTTTTGTCAGCTTGTTGTTGCCCCTACTGTTACCATTGCCTCAGGTATCTGTGATGCTTAAAAATCACCAGTGTTGATTTTCAACAAATGTCCCTGGGGAAAAGGCTGTCCACACCATGCGAGCTCTGAGGTAAGATAAAGAGAAGCCTTGTGAGTGGGCTTTTCTAGGGAACAGATAGTCAGATAATGGGAATTGATTTTGGAGCAGCTTTACTCTGGTCTTCGCCCCTAGAGGCTGCTAGACTGGTTTACCATGA